ATCTGTTTAATTTTGCCTCTTGTATTTTAGTTCTAGCTAGGTACAGGTTGTCCAAAATTATTACATTCTTTTCTTAAAGAAATTTTAATTCTTTATCTTTTCTATGATTTGTGATTTTCCACTAAAATTCCAAAATATCAGCCTTTGACTTAAGATGTTGAGGGAATCTTAGAGTAGCTATCTGTCCCTTTCTCTGGCTGTTGTGGTCCTTGTTATCATTATTGTAATTATCATTAGCTGTTTTTGAGGGACTACATAGTTGTAAGGCTTTATCCCTACTACTAAGTAATTTAGGTTCTTATCCTGAATCTTGAGAGTAAGTAAAGTAAGCAGCAGTCATTCAACCATAGAACAGTGTTTCTTAAAATATAGTTCATAGATTATCTGTATCAGAAACAGATATAGATCAGAAACTAGAGAACTGCTTCCTAAAGTTTAATGCATATCTGACTCACCTGGGGGTTTTTCATAAAATGCAGTTTCTGATTCTGGGGTGGGGCCTGAGATTCTGAATTTCTGCTAAGCTCTCAGGTGATGTCCATGCTATTGGTCTATGGACTTCATTTTGAATACCAAGAATTGAGGATTTTTGTTAAAATAGCAATCATAAGTCCCATCCCAGATCCATGGTATCACAATGTGTAGCTGGAATCTGATTATATGTATTTTAATGAGATATTTATTTGTACCAAAGATTAAGAATTGTTGCTGTAATTTAATGGTTCTTTTTTTCTTCTTTTTTTAAAAAAATATTTTTCAATTACATTTGACATGTGATATTATATTAGTTTCAGGTGTACAACATAATAATTAGGCATTTATATACCTTATGAAGTGATCACCCTGATAAGTCTAGTACCCATCTGACACCATGCATAGTTATTACAATATTATTTACTATATTTCTTATGCTATGCTTTATATCCCTGTGACTGTTTTTACAACTGGTAATTTGTACCTCTTAATTCTTTTCTCCCATCCCTCCAACCCCCACTCCCCACCCCAAACCTGGCAACCACCAATCTTTTCTCTGTATCTATGAGTTTATTTCTGTTTTGTTTATTTTGTTTGTATGATTCCACATACAAGTGAAATCATATGGTATTTGTCTTTCTCTGTCTGACTTACTTCACTTAGCATAATACCCTCAAGGTTCATTCATGTTGTCGCAAATGATAAGGTGTCAATTTTTTTATGCCTGAGTAATATTCCATTGTATTTATGTACTATATCTTTTTTATCAATTTGTCTATCAGTGAACACTTAGGTTGCTTCCATATCTTGGTTATTGTAAATAACACTGCAGTGAACATAGGGGTACATATATCTTTTTGAATTAATGTTTTGAATTTCTTGATATTGCTATCATTTAATGGTTCTCAACTGTGGTTGTGCATCAAAACCACCCAGAAGGAATTATAAAACAGTGTTGTTAGAAATTACCTCAGAACTACTGAATTGTCATTTCTGGCATGTGTATTTTTAATATCTAGAATCATTATCCACTTGATTTTTAGTGTTACCAGGTTATAAAGCATAATTATAAGTATTATAGAAGGGACTGGAGCCGGAGTCATCATGCCTAGTACTAGAGATTTCCCCTAGAATCCAGACAAAAAATAGGACTGAAATTAAACTATGGTAGAACTTAGGGGGAAAAGTTTCAAAGTTGAAATATCCCACTACATTTTATACAGCATAACTTATGTAATTTTAAACCATTTACTTTTTAAAATATATTTTTGGCTCATTTATTGACAGTGTTTCTTAAAGTAGAGTCAGTGAGCATAGTCTTGGGGTTATGAGTTTTCCACAGTAATTTGATTGTAATATTTTTATTTTTATGAGACTAATGGAAACATTCTGAGTGATTTAAATAAATCATATAAAATATACTGTCACACAGGTCCAATATGTGAATTTAAATTTGCATTTATAATTGTGTTGGCATCAAGTAGTATTATTTTAGTCATTACCGATTAGTGAAATAACAGAACTGGACTATGCACATGTATTATGTATGTATTCATGCTGAAGGACTGTAAAATTATGTGATGATATATTTTGGAACAGAATTTGAGCTGTTCATGTAGAGGCAAGTGGTGAAACAGAAGCCAAAGTACAGACACACCAAATTCAAAAGAACCTGTGCAGCCCGGGCCATATCCATATTGTGAGATTATTGTATTTCTGAAAATAATTCATCTGTCATATAAATTAATGTCATTAATTTGAATTCTAGTTGCAGCTTTATTTGTCTTTAATTTGTATTCTTTTATGTGCATATAAGAGCCATAAGTATGAGGAATGTATATGTTATTTTATTTTTATACATAAGCTAAGAATTTATAAAAGTAAGACAAAAGTGAGAATCACTAAAAATATTTTAAAGATCTGTATATTATTTAAGCTTGAGACACGTTTGTTTTATTTCATATGGCTATGTATAATAACATATATCTAATTACAGAATTATTTGATCTCTAATGGCGAAATTTAAATACAGTTTTCCACATTAGCTTTTCTTGATTTCTATTACTGGAATTAATTCCTCTCTTCTTTGAACTCTTTATAGCAATGAACAATTTTACTTTTATTTTTCTTACTTGTCTATTTGTTTCCTCTCCTATTAGATGGTATGTTTTTTGAGGGAAAAAGAATAGGTATGCTATATAATAAAGGACAGTGATTTTTATAAAGACATTCAGTGAAGGTTGAATACATGAATAAATGGATGAAAAACTATGAATGTCTTAGATGATTTGCTATAGAAGAATAATATTGAATATGGATGTATGAACAAGATTATTTTTCCAAGACTTACATATAACTGAAAATTCTTCATCTTGCAGGAGGTGTTGGTAGAAATACATTACAAATGAAAGTGTAACTATTATGTACAATAAATTAAGTTCTGTTAAGGTATCAATTTAATCATCATTAGGGTCATCAAATATGCAGCACAAGTGTAATCATGCCCTCTCCCTCATCTGTGTCAATAATCTTAAGTATTTTACATTACCCTTTTTTATTGGATTCAGATAAAGTCTGGGAATCTTTCTTCTTCTTATTATTATTTTTTAGCTGAGCCATCCTGCTACCTGTTGGCAGCTCAGCGGCTGCTCAGCTCAGGCTGGACTCAAACCGCTGTTGCTCAGAGCTCAAACTCTTGAGCGAGCTCTTAACCAACTGAGCCACTCGGCCGGCCCTTGGGAATCTTTCTTAATTAGTTGTTTAACCACTACCCATCAACTGGACATTGAACACAGATAAAACCCTTTTGTCATCAAGGGTCTAGATACTTGTCAGTAAGAATGAGGAAAAAAATGATATTGGTTAAAAGAGAAGTTCTAACCCTGTTTGGATCTTCTTCATGTATTCCATTATTGTTATTATACTGTAATGTCTGTGATATTGGAATTCTGCCTCTTGCTTCAGGTCTCATTACTAAAATCAGGCAGTTGTTAGTCTTTTTTTTTTCACCTTGGAAATGACTACATAATATTGATGTTCTATTTTCTATGTTCTGCGCTTCTATCTTTGTATCTACTTTTATGGGATAAGAAGTTTTTCTACTCTCCCTATGATTCTGAAAGGATGATCTTAAATCCTTTTAAAATGAGTTTCTTCTTTCTACTTAGATTGAATAAAAAATTGGTCCTTCATTGCCTAGAAACATGACCATCAAGTTATTTCCTGTGGGACACTATTAAATATTTCTTGGCAACAGAAATTCTAGACTTTAGGTTTTAATCAGAATTGTCCAATATCATGTAGCTTAATTATACTTCAATTAAATTTTCAATTAACTCTGTAAGTGCATATGTAATACCATGGTTTCTATTTTCTTAGATATAGTGTGGATTTTAGCAGAATACTTTTGAATAGATTAAGTTTGATTTAGAGAGGTAGGTTGTTAAATAATAACTCAGTAAACCAGACTAATATAAGTTTGATGGACCGAGTGTTCACTGTTATATAATGGAATCTTGTTGAGAATTTACTATTCACATTTCATTTTCTTTTTTTATATTGGTCTGTTTCTCTGGCGTCAGAATTCTGTCCAGCTCTTCTAACAATTTACTAGCTCCTTTTCTGAGTAAGCTCTAGGAAATATTGTGGTTCAACAACAAATTCCTGCAAGAGATAACTGTGAACTTATCTCCATTTTTCTTCTTAAGAATGATTAAAGAGTATGAGTAGGGCAAACTAGAAAGAGTGATGATGCCGGGAAGAGAAGATTCTCATAAATTCCCAGATTTCATATATAGGAGTCATGGTTGCTCTGGCTATGGAACAGGTTCCCAGAGTTGGTCAGAAAGCCCATTGTGAAGAAGGAGGCAGAACAAAAAAAAAAAAAATGAGGGAATAGTGCAGTGGATCTATGACCTTATAAGTTTTCTTTATACTACTTAGATGCCAAGCATCTGAATAAAAAGTAGATAAATAATTTATCATCTGTGTAGACATAGCTACAATCTCTCTGAGAACTTGGAAATTTATGTTTCAAATGTACCTAATTTCTATTTGAACTGAATAAAACAGGCAAACTGTGTAGCTTGGAGAAAGATGATAATTTTGCAAACAAAGAAGAATGGATTTTAAACTCAGTTTTGCCACTTACTAGCTTTCAATCCTAGGCAAGTAAAAAGAAAAATTCTTGACCTCATTTTCCTCTTGTAATATATATATTGTCATTAATTTATATATATAAAGCATGTGCACATACATGTATATAATCTGTCTTGTACTGTTTTCAGAATTAGATTAGTATATATTAATGCCTACATTAGATACTCATTTAATAATGGTTATTATCATTATTGTTTTAATGACATGTTGTTATTTATCCCATACCCTCACTAATAACTAAATGCTACTTAAGTATATTGTAAATTTTATTGTTTATATAGATATCACTACATAATAAGTGTAAGAAAAATAAAATGCTGACCAGACATAAAAATTAGATACTTTAATTGTAATTTTCTTTCTTTCAGAATTACTTACTGTCATCTACCTTTCCAGAGTAAATGGCTCTATGTTGGAACAGAAAGAGGAAATACACATATTGTAAATATTGAATCTTTCATTCTTTCTGGATATGTTATCATGTGGAACAAGGCAATTGAACTGTAAGTTTGAACTTGAATATCACATTATTTGACTTCAGTATTTAATATAGTTATGTAACATGTCTATCAAGTTGCAGAGCTATTTGAAACATAGTTTGTTTATGATTAATATGAGTGAAAAATTCAGCCAAAATAATTTGAAACTATAAAGGCTTTTACAAATAGATATTGTAGTATTAACATATGCTAAATTTAGACTTTCCAAATACTGTAAATAGTTAAGGGTTATGTATGCAAAATTTGATGATAAAATAGTAAGGCTCATTCTAAAAGTTATACGTGGAAATCATCTTATTTCTTTTTAGTCAACATTCGAATAATCACTTTCAGTGAGAATGGCAAGTGAATTATGACCACATTTAGTTTTATGTAAAAATAATCATGATCAGTTCACATATTTATTAATGTTGGTAGCTTATTCTTCACTTGCCTTGTTAACATATTGTTCTGGGTTCAAAGGAGAATCAATTTATTAATATTTTTTATGTTGTGATGTATACAGCTATTTGGCTATGTGGTTGATGGCAATTACCACTTTGACATTCACATTGATATTTATATTTAAGCACATGGAAAATGTGAAGTCCCCCAAGTGTGAAATTTCGTGGAATTCCAAGCCATCTATTTGTAGTATATACACAAATAATTCTCCTCATTAATCTGAAAAATAATTTTTCTTATTAAATGTTTATCCTCTATACATATTAGGTCCTTAATAAGATACATTTGACTTAAAGCTGGCCCATTCTCATATATATAATCTATATTATATATAGATGACATATATAGATAGATTATATGTATTATATATAATATATATTCATATATAATATATTCATTCATATTATATATATAATTATGTAACTAAGTTACATAATTATTCTTCCCCCAAACTCTGATTAAAACAGCCTATTTTCATGAAGCTTGACTCTGTTCTTTATCATAAATCTACAATTCCATATTCCCAATGTTTCAATGTGCTTATATATTACTTAATAGGGTAGGTTGTTACTAGTTATATTCTTGTTATAATATTCCATTTGTATTATGTCCTAATGGGTATTTTATTAATGATAATCCTTCCCCCTCATTAGATTAAGAACTGCTCCAGGGCAGAATCTTTGTTCATTGCTCTTTTCTTTTTCTTCATACTTGGCTTATTTTGGTGCATTCCACAGAGTGACTACTAAATGACCAATGACATTGAAAATTGGTATTATAGTTACACACTACTTGATTTACAGCTTTCATTTACAATTATAGTTATAATTGGTATGAACTATTTTGAGCATATATATTTTAGCATTTTGTATGTGTATTTTTAAAAACATTCATCCTATAGACAATTATGTGTCTCCCAAAAAGTTATTTGCTTTTTTTTTAGCTATTTGAGAAAGGCTTTTCTCTCTGTAATCTTAGTCCTATAAAAACATTAAATAGGCTGAACTTAATGCTTGTTTTTATAATATTGTTTTAGGATATTGATTAAAACACAAATAAACTTGAGAGATCAATTATAGAGCTTTTATACAAATTAAGATTAGTATAAGTCATAATAGATGTATCATTTGTGTTCAGCTGAATGCTAACATACTTAAGGAGAGTTTATTATCTAAACAGATAAAATGTTTTGCTACATTTGAAATGTTTCCATATTCATTTACTTAACAAGTCCTTTTCACATTTCAAATTAATACTACCTGAAATAGTGACTTATACTTCATATATATATATATATATATATATGAAGAATATATATGGTCTCTATACTTTATGATTTCAGGACTAATGAAGTGTTTAAAATGTATATTATAAAGGATGGTAAACAGGAGAAATTAAAGAGTAAAATAAGGCAGTTTTATTTTTCATAGTATGATCTTGCACATGTAATTTGGCATCAGGATAGTATCTACCATTCATGTAAACCCAGTGTTTTATAGAGTTGTACATGCCTCTGAATATGTCCTTTAAATATTCTCAAGATATTGTTAGTCGACAACAGCATCTCTTGACTGTTTTTTTGGTTTATTTAGACCAGGTTTCCAAAACTGTATTCCATAGAATTATAGCTCCATTATGATAGATATATTTTTATTTTTATTTATTTATTTATTTTTATTATTAGTTTCAGGTGTACAAAAAACAATGCAATAGTTATGCTGTTCACCCCTCACAAAGTGACAACACCCCTTTCCCAATCCACTGCCCCCCCACTCCCCATATTGTACATATGATAGATATATTTTTAAATGCCAACTTCCAAACTCTCAGAGTCTTTTAATTGCTTCTCTACCTCTTGAGATAAATAAGAAAATGCGTGCTAGTTCCTGTTGATGTGTCAAGTATATGGGACAATGATAAAATACGTATTTAATTAAAAAGAGTAATTTCACAAATAGAATTTTAGACACAAATTTTAACAGTACATTTTCAAAGTATGATAAATGCAAAATTTTCTTGAAGAGATAGATTATTTTTAAGTCCTTACTTGAAATACTTTTCATTTAATGTTTTGTATTTTTCAGCTTGTTTCTATTTTTAGGAAGTGTCCTAATTGCATTTATATGGGATTTCCTAAATTATAAATAATCTGTTTTCCCAAAGTATATATATATTGATTATTTGGAAACTAGAACACATTTTCCATATAAACAGTGATATTTGTAGAACACTTCATAAAATAGTGGTATAGAACTAAACTGACAGAAAATATTTCTATGGGAAAAATATTCCAGGTTATATCACAGAAATAGCTGTTTCTTTAGGGTATCTGTAGCATTTTAGAAAAATGTAACCTATTTTTTCTACATATGATTAAAATTTGAGCCTGAAATCTATAATTAAATAATATGTGTATCTTTGTTTGTCTTGTTCCTTTGTTGCTTTCAGTTTTATATCCCACATATGAGTGAAGTCATATGGTTCTCGACTTTTTCTGTCTGACTTATTTTGCTTAGCATAATAATCTCAAGATTCATCCATGTTGTTGGAAATGGCAGTATTTCATCTTTTCTTATGGCAGAATAGTATTACATTGTGTATATATACCACATCTTCTTTATTTAATCATCTATCGAAGGACACTTTGGTTGTTTCCATGTCTTGGCCACTGTCACCCCAATAAACTTTAATTTAAAAAGTTTTTTAAAAAGAGTATTAAAAATATGTGTAAGACTTGTATAACACTTATTTAAATTATTTATTGAACACTATGATATGGTAAATAGTAGAAACAGCTATGAACTAGGAAGTCATAGGTTCTGTCCTCTTGGGGGCTTCCACTCTAATAAAGTTGAGATTAAGTAAAAGCTCAGTTGCAATGTATTGGAAATATAATGTGGCAATTCCATAAGAAGAATACCTAATGTAGACATGGGGTCTCAGAGAAGTATCTTTGAAGTAAGTTCCATCTATGCTGAGATCTGAACGATGAGTTTCAGTTAGATTAGTCAAGAGTTGAGAGAGAAGGGTGAGGGTGTTCCAGGAAGAGGAGACAGAAGGTTTAAAGGATGAACATTTGGGAGAATTTTTGTTCTATGCCCAGGAATTTTAAGTAGGTTAGTTGGTTGGAATGGCTGGAGGAGACAATGGCAAAAGATAAAGCTGAAGAGGTAATCAGGGTATATAATATGAAAGGCCTTATTAGATGGTTTGAGAAGTTTGGACTTTAAGGCCAGGAGATAGATTTGAAGGGCTTTAAGCTGAGAATTGACTAGATCAAATTTACATTTAGGAAGACGATGTTGAATGCAGATATGGAGAAATGATTGAAGCAAGAAAAGACTGTATTCTTGATAAAAATTATGGTGGTGAATTTAGGAGTGAGATAAGCTGACATATTAAAGGAATAGTTAGAAGATAGAAGAGGCAAGACTTAGGTATTGTGAGAAGATGTGAGAATAATAGAGAAGAATTAAGAGTTCCTTCAGGTGTTTGGTGTGAGCTACTGTATAGATAAGGGTGCCAATTAGTGAAAGAATGCAAGAGATTGAATAGGTTGGGAATAAAATAATTGAGTTCAATTTTAGGTAGGTTGAGTTGTGTTTACAAGACATTCAGCTGAAATTGGTATGGAAGAATGGTAGGAAGTGGGATATATGGATCTGAAGGTAATGAGACCAGAATTTACATTGTCATTGAAACCATGAGACTAGATGAAATGTGCATGAAGAATATATAGAAAAGAGGTAGCAAGGTAATAGAGAGTCAGCCAATTCTGACTCACAGATATGTTTTGTTTGGCCATCAGAATACTTAAATATGTTCTGAATTATTAGCTTCCTAATATTTAAAAATTGGTAAAGTACAAATAAAAATTTGGATTTCCATCTTTTCATGAAAAAAATTTCATGATGAGATGATCCTAGTTCAGTATTCTTTCATGGCAGTCAGTTATTAACTGTAACATTCCTTTTGTAGGTGGGTAATGTGCTATCCATTTTGGCCTTATTCAGCCTATTTAGCTTATTGGGTTGTCAGAAAAGTCATCACACATTTTTGCAACGAAAAACATAGAAAAATGCATTATGACTTTTCCGACAACCCAATATTTGCAATACTTGTCTGGGTCCTGATGACTGTTGAATTCATGACCACATCTAATATGGGAATAGATGGCAGTCTAGGAAAGAATACAAAAGAATACCAATATTTAAGATATAGAAATAGAAAGAATGTCTACAAAGGACAATATCAAGAAGCCATTGTGGTAAATGGGAGGAAGAGAAATAAATAGGTATACTTAGAAAATGGGTATTATTTAGATGGGTATTACATGAATTTAAGTTCATTGATAATTCCATCTAAAGTACATTTTGTGGGAATTACAGAATCCAAAGTATACAGATGCTTTTTTATTTTTAAGTCAATTTAATGGCCATAAGTTTTGTCAGGAACACTTGGTGGTTTTTGGAAGTTTAATGTTAGGGAAATGTCAGAAAAAAACCACATCAAAATGTCAGTCATTATGTTGAGGCAGTGAAATAATATGAGAGATTTTCCACTTAACTTTTGGTATTTTCTAAATTTTCTTTTTTTACAATAAGTAAAATTTCTTCTATAGTCTGAAAAAGTCACTAGAAATGAGTGAAGTTTAATGCTAGATTATTTTCTCATCTTGAGTGTTTTTGTAGTCTGAGAATCTAAAGTGAAGAGTCTTGCATATGGTCTAACTAGTGTTTCTCAAAGTATATTTCAGTGATTCCCTTAATAAGGTCAATGAAAAAGGATTCTGTGGGCCAATAATTTTGGAAAAGATTGAAGATTTGCAATGCTTATTTGCATATTATAGCCCTAAAAAGTTCTATAGAAGAAAAAATATTTAACTTTATTTAATTCAGGGTTTCCCACACTTTTTTTGATATGGAACACTATGTGAAATGCCTTATAGATTCACTAGTTCCTCATGGAGTACGCTTTGGTATTTGTTGTTACAGTCAAACCCAAGAGACAGATAGGGGTTTGTGATTTGTTGGATATTTTTAGTTCCCAAAGGATAATTAAAGGACATTGTTCCTTAGCAGAGGCATTTATATTGTAATAAAACACTGCATTTATGTGTAAATGATATAATTGCAAAAAGTTCTGTACACTTTTTATTTAGCCTTGTTTAGTTTCTTTTTTCCTGCATATATTCTAGAATGTAAATAGTAACTCTGATTTCCAATTATCCCGATGATTTCAACAATCATAATACGTACTATTTATTAAATAGTTACTATGTTTTTGCATTATATTTGGTGCTATATGTATATTCTAATCCTCACAATTGTTCAGTAGGGTCAGTACTACTATCTCCATTTTAGATGAGAAAATTTAGGTTAAAACCACTAACAATATCTAGTAAATCTGTATTTATTGGGTTGTCGGAAAAGTCATGACATATTTTTTCAATGTTTTTCGTTGCAAAAATGAGTCATGACTTTCCCGACAACCCCATATTTTCCTTCCTCTGGAGAGTCAGGAACTTGGAGTTACTTAATTTGCCACTTTTCTCTGATTCTGAAAAGTTTTTAAAATTTAAATCTTTATTGTTTTGTGCAGAATCTTTGATGATTTTCATATGTACTTAAGAAATTATAACTATTTCAGTATAATCATAATAGAATTAACCTGGCCCAATTAAGTCACTGAAGAAAGGATGTGGAAAATAGAGCAATAATAAACTATGGTTTATCAGGTCATATCGTATTTAACCATGACATAATCACATTCAACAATGATGTAAGTTAAAGTAGGAAATACAAAAGAAACATACCAAATACCAGAGTAGAATGAATTTAAAGTTAGATTAACAGAGCACAGGTCCCTTTAAAAATATGCTCTTAGACTCATAATGATCTGTTATTGATTAACCTGGATAACCAGATAAATGAGACATAACCAGTGAACTAGGTTTCCCAAGTTTGTCAGTTTTCTGTATGCTGGCTATCACTAGAGAAAGCTTTCTTTTAAAATAAAGGAACTTGTGTACTAGTCTGTAGGAGCAAAATCTGAGATTTCATGTCAAAAGGAAATTTTAAATCAGGTATATACTTTGGTTGAGACAGGTTTATAGCATCAGCCTTGGGGCTGTATAAGTTTTCCTTTGTCTGTATAAGTAGAAGTTCAATTTCAAATTTTCAGAGGCCCAGATCTGTCAACAAACATATGTGATAATAAAGAATCTCATTGTTTTGTGGATCTATGTTCTTAAACCTGATATTTAAAAAAATCACACCTACTTTAATGGAGTTAGTAGGAGAGAGAAAAGTAGTCTTAAAAGAAAAACAACTAAACTCAAATGAATGTAAGCTAAACTCCAGAGTATTTGGAGTTTATTCCAATATAATCTTAATTTCTTTGTCTAATTTGTAATGGTAAGGTGTTTTAATGTTTATTTTTTAATTACTGTTTTGAATTGATTTAACAGATCCACAAAGACTCATCCAGGTCCAGTTGTACATTTAAGTGATAGCCCAAGAGATGAAGGGAAAGTGAGTATTACAATACCATTATTCTTGCATTTATTTTCCTCATTCTTGAATAAAAGTATTTCTTACTGTTATTTGTTACATAACATCTATAGCACAGTTCATAGCATTTAATGTAATTTAAAATTAAAATACGTTGAATGAATGAATGAGCAAATAAATGAATGAATGACTTATTCACACTAATAATGGTCCCAAATTAAATCTTTAGTTTTACCTAGAACTAAAGTTGATATTTAATTCTAAAATTTCGAGTAAAACATGTAACATGTGGAACAATTTTAATTTTCAAATATTCTGTGCTTGAACTTAATATGATTATCAATATCATTAACCATTGGCCTCTGATATTCAGTTTTGGTAATGACAAATAACAATATTAAATAATCATAAATTAGCCAATCTTGATTTTATAAGTAGGTAATAATATAGAAAATGTTCTCAGATTACAGAAATAATCCTATTTATATTGACTATTCATAATTTTCCTTTGATGATGAGAATACAAAGTTGGTAACATGAAAAGATCTAAAGTGTCACTTTCACTTAAATATTGTCACTTCAAATATATCATTTTTGCTAAGGACTATAGAAAACACTTCTATAAATTATTTAGTATAGGTTTAGTTCTTTGTTTATTTTTAAATGATAGAAACTGAATTTTCCTAATAAATAAAGAACTCAAAAAGCAAGTCCTGGCAATAGGAAGAACATTAGATTTCTTCAAATTGATCCACAAATACAGCATAATTCCAGTCAGGTATCATCAGAATTTATTTTTAAAAACCACAAGCTGATTCTAAAATTTATAAGAAAAAGAAAATGTTTGAGAATAGCAAAAACATTTTTGAAAAAGAAATATGTTGTGATATTGGTACAGCAGTATATAAAAAGACCAATAGATCTAAATAGATGTTTCAGAAAAGGTTTAGGCATTTGGGCAAATTTTGTACATTTTAGAGATGTTTTAGAACATGATAAGCTATTGAATAGATGGTGTTGGACAATTGGCTATTCATTTTGAATAAAATAGTAAGACCTCATACCATTCACTCGAATAAATTTCAGATGGAGAAAACATATAACTGTCAGAATGTCAAAAATAACAACTCAGGAAGTTTTACAAGAAACCATAGAAATAGGTTGTTACTGTGGAATAGGGACATCCTTAGGCAAGACATAACACCTGAAAGCTTTAAAGAATATACCATAACAAGACAATTATAAAAGGCAGGCAACAAAGTGGTACATATTACAGCAGGCAAATAACCAACATGCAAAATATGTAAAGAACTTGTACTAAATTCTTATATTTCATACTAGGAAATCAATAATTAATGTCTTATTAATAAATCAAGAAGTGGCAATATAAATATATTTAGAAATATGGAAAGTAAGTGTACTAGAAAAGACGACTATAAGAGTTGAAGGTGTGGTTGTTTGGCTTTTACCTCTAGAGAGCAGGATTTGGCAATGAGGAGGAAACAGCCTCACTAGTAATCACTAGGGAAATGCAATATACTATTTTTCCTCATCAGCTTGGCAAAAAGTTAAAATTTAAAAATATTAATAATATCAAATAATGGAAAAGGCATTGAAAAATGGCCACCTAGATACAGTAATAGTAGGTACATATACCAGTATGGGCAATTTGGTGTTGTCAACATTTCAAACATGTATTTGTTATGACCTAGAAAATCCATTTAAGATACCTATCCTATTTATATGACCAAAGGGTAAAATACTGAAAACAGCCTAAAGATCTATTAATAGAAAATGGAATAAATGAATGCTGACATATCCATACTGTGGAACACTGTGCTGATATGGAAAGTTCTTTAAGCCATGTTTTTAAAAGACAAGTTGCAGAACAATAAGTGTAGTATAAAACCACTTGAATAATGCATTCATATATTTATTTACTTATATATTCAAATACCCAAGGAAAAAATTCTGAAAGGATATGTACAGACCTGGGGAGGATACTGGAGATTGGAAGTGGGGAAATGGTCAAAGGTATTCTTATTTTACTTACATTGTTCAAGTTTTTATGAAGGAATAGAATGTGTGATAATTGTGTAATTAAAATGGGAGAAGAATGCAAAATAAATTAGTATTAGAGTCAGAAGACCATGTGTTTAAATATGGCTCTACTACTTATTAACATATATTCTAAAATAAATCACTTGACTTCTTGTAGATTAGTTTTTCCATTGGTAGCCTTTTGTCATAAAGAAGTTTTTTATTTTAATGTATTCATTTTTATCAGTATTTTAATTTGATACTTGCTTTTTGTTTGTTATGCAGTAAATCTTTCCCTTTCTGAGGGAAGCTATAATCCCGTGTCTTTCTATCAGTTTTAAGGCTTTCCATTTTACAATTAGATTTTAATATCTGTGTATGTAATTTATTTTATATTTATTTAAGATAAGGGTATACTTTTATATTTACATACAACTAATTTCTTTATCCAATAGTCAATTCAGTTTCCACTGATGTATGAGGACAGCTCACTCATGTATATTTTTCGATATAGTTCCCATATTTGGATGGATCTTTTTCTGGGATTTTTACACTGTTGTAATAAATATTATTGTAATAATATATTTATTATTTTACTAACAGCACACATTAATAACTATAAAATATCCTATTACCTAGTAGGCCCTCCTTTTTCTCCCTCCCCTATCTTGGCTTTTTCTGACCATTTATTCTATATGAATTTTAAGATCAATTCAGCAAGCTCTGTGTAAATCCTTGCTGGAATTTTGTTTAAAACTTGGATATGCTGATTAATTTAGAGAAAGTTTACATCATTAAGATATGAGTGTTCCATCTATAAAGATGATATATTTATTTTGACTTTCTTTTATATCTTTATATGTACCTTTATAACTTTTTTCACAAAAGTCTTACATATCTTTTAACTTAATTCTAAAGACCTCATAGATCTTATTGCTCCTGTGTATTTTTTAAATCAATTTCATAATTGATTTTTAGTGTATAATATCTTACTGATTTTTGTTATTTTGTATTTGGAATGTTTTCTTTTTAACAGCTGTCCTTAAATTATCTGGAATGTTTTCTATATAAAAGCATAGCAAATATAGACAAATTTTGTTTCTTCCTTTCCAATATTTATAGTTTTTTATGTATGTATTTGTTTTGTTGCATAAGGACTCAGTGCAATGTTGAATATAAATGGTATTAATGGGAACTTAATTTTTTTTCCAACCACAAAGGAAATGCCTCCAAGATTTCAACATTAAGTAAGGTGTTTGCTTCTGGCCTTTGGTTGATTGCTTTTATGAAGTTAAAAAGTTTCCACCTATTTCCAATATTCTAAGTTTTAAATTATGAATGGTACTGCATGCTATTCCATATGTATCAAGATGTGTTTTGTGCCCGTCTCAGCCTACTGGTAGAGATGCAATGAGTTAGAAATACCTGGGGGCAATCATCTGGGTGCAAGGTGAGCTCCCATAGAAATTTCACCTTTTGAAGCCAATGTTGTGGCTGGACTGGCCCTTGTGGGTATTTTTATGATTGCAAGATGCACCTTGGCTACATCAGGGAACTTTTTTTTTTTTTTTAAAGAGTTTATTGGGGAATTGGGGAAGGAGAACAGACAAGTTGCTGTTGTTTTGTTCTTCAGTCTAGTTGTGGAGGACGTTGCTTCACTGGCCCATGTTGGTATTATCATTGCGCTCTTCCCAGGTGAGGCAGATCAGTCACCGGCCTCTGGATGGTCACTCACGGCGGCTCTTGGCAGCTCACACCAGCTGCCAGCCACTCACTCTGGCTGCCAGCCACTCACGGTAGCTTATGGCAGCCCACTGCAGCAGGGGCTGCAGTCTATGCTGTCGCCGGCAACTCATGGCAGCTCAGCTCCAGGTCGAGCTGTTATTCACCATCTTAGCTGTAGAGGGCAGTGTCACTGGCCCCATGTGGGATCTAAACCGGGGCCCTGCTGCTCAGAGCTGGTGTCCCAAGCCAGCTCTTAACCAACGCGCCACTCGGCCGGCCCTCAGGGAACTTTTAAAAACACGTTTTTAAATTCACAGGTCCTGGAGGGTACAGGGTATGCCTGGGGCCATACAGTGAGGTCATGGGTAGAGAGAGAACAGGCATGTGGGCCTGGGGTTCTGCTTTTCTTGGGTTGAGGGCGGAGTGCCTGGGGTTAGCAGGTTTACTCTTTTTTTATTATTAGTTTCAGGTGTACAAAACAATTTAATTGTTAGACATTTACAACCCTCACAAGGTGATAGCCCCCCTCCTCCAATCTACTACCCCTCGTTTGTATCTGTTACAATTCCATTGACTCTATTCCCTATGCTGTACTCCACATCCTGCGACTATATATATATTAAATTATAGTTGACATAAATTAAATTATAGTTGCTATGAAGTGCAGGTTTACTCTTTATTGGTGAATTTAAAACATAAGAGCAGTAATTAAAGTGCAGAAAGGGGAAAGCAAGCCATCAGTCAAATGGTCAGTTATCTAAATCAATCAGGGCTTTCTGAAAACAAGGGAATTTCACGGGTGGGGCAGCCTGGCTCTTTATTTAGTCCTGTAGCTGTCAAGGTGTTTATTTGAGATGGATATCTTCAAAGTGGTTGCCTCAGCAATTAAAAGTTTACCAGGCACTTACATTACAATAAAAAAAGCTGTCAGGCACTAATATTACAAGATAATTATTCCTTAATTTTTTATTTTGTTGAAGTATGTTAACAAATGTTCTAATTTTAAACATTTTTGCATTTCTGGGATAATTCAACTGGGAAGGAGAAAACTTCCATTGAGGCTTGTTGGTGAAGTGAAAGAAGGGACAAATTACTGATGTTAAGGTTCCTACTGAAACAAGATTGCATTATAGAATCAGGAAATAGACCACCCTCTCCCTAAGATAACATTTGCTAAATAAACTGCATGTTAGTTTATCAAATGGAAGAAGGTGCTCTTGAATTGAGCAATGTTTGTATTGGATATAGTACCGTGT